CAGCTCTGTATTGAGGAGAGGAAGTCCAGTGTGGACCAAGAGGAGCCAGAGCCTCCACACATTAAAGAGGAAGAGGAGGAAGTGTGCAGCAGTCAGGAGGGAGAGCAGCTTGTAGTGAAGCAGGAGACTGATGGCTTTATGTTGACTCCTGCTGATGAGGAAAGTGAGCACAGTGAAGACCAGACTCTGGACTTCATTCATGATCACACTCAAACCAGTGAGCACCAGCTGCTCTGTCACAACTCTCATGTAGCTGAGAGGCAAGATGAGGAAGAATACCAGCATGGAAACTCGGGATCAACTAGAAACACAGAGCTTCAAGCAGAGAAAAGACATCATGAAAGTGAAATGAACAGTAACAGTCCACACACCTCTGCTGTGATAACCTTAAATACAGGTAAAAAGCCTTTAAAATGTGACACATGTGGGAAAGATTTTGAGTTCAAGTCAAAATTGCAGAGACACCTGAACACCCACACAGGTGAGAAGCCATACCTTTGCAAGACCTGCGGGACAAGATTCAGTGAAAAATATCTTATGAAAAGACATTTAAGAACCCACACAGGTGAGAGGCCATTTATATGCAAAACGTGTGGGAGAGCTTTTAGATCGAGAAATTACCTGACTGTCCACATGAGAACGCACACAGGTGAGACGCCATACGTTTGTAAGACCGGCGGGAAAAAATACAGTAACATAACAGCTTTGAAAAAACATGTTAAAATCCATGCAGACGACAAGCCAGTTTACTGTAAAATATGTGGGAAAGATTTCAGATTTAATCAAGAATTGATAATACACATGAGCATCCACACAGGTGAGAGGCTGTATACTTGTGAAGTATGTGGGAGAGCTTTCAAACGTTATGATGTCTTGTTAGTCCACATGAGAACCCACACAGGTGAGAAGCCGTATACTTGTGATGTATGTGGGAGAGCTTTCAGACATAATGGTCACTTGTTAGTCCACATGAGGACTCACACAGGTGAGAAGCCGTATACTTGTAAAGTATGTGGGAGAGCTTTCGGACGTAATGGTGTCTTGTTGGTCCACATGAGAACTCACACAGGTGAGAAGCCGTATACTTGCAAAACATGTGGGAAACACTTCAGATCTAGGAGTAACTTGACAGGCCACATGAGAACGCACACAGGTGTAAAGGTGCGTGACTTGAGCACAGAGGTTCCAGTTGAATATGTCATTCATGATGACACTCAAAGTGCAGCAGAGAAAGAGTCTGTATTTAAAATGCCAGTTATAAGCTCTGTGATATCAGAAGCAACCAGTGAGCACCAGCTGCTCTGTCACAACTCTCATGTAGCTGAGAGCCAAGATGAGGAAGAATACCAGCATGGAGACTCAGGATCAACTAGAAACACAGAGCTTCAAGCAGAGAAAAGACATCATGAAAGTGAAATGAA